GAGAGTGTGTTTTTAATATTTTTTATTTAGAGACATCCATATTTTGTCTCCAATGTGGATGGTCTTAGTGTCGATTCCGAAGGGTCTACTGGACCAACAATGTTGAGATCCCTCGTTGAAAATAGAACGTGAGCATGGTTCATGTGAAGCTTTTGTTGGCAAACTAATTGAACTTTTGGGAATGTACATAATAAAGAACACATACACAACCGCATGTATGTTTGGTCATTTTATTGTGGATTGCTACTTGATCCACTATCAGTTCATAATTGTACTCCATTACTTAGATCCGAAATTATATTTGCTAATTATGTTCCCAAAGTCTTTTAGAAGATTCCAAGTCTCAATCCCGCAACTTCCTTAAGGTTCCGTGCAACAACATACCTACAAACACACATATAAACAATATTCTATTCTCAAACATATTATAGACGCAAGCAAACAAATACATGTGCATAAAAGAGACATAGAAAGCGATGTACAAATTTTACCTAAGTAAGCCGCAACTTCCGTACGCATCAAAAGAACCACCAGTCCTACAAAACACAAAAACTATTTTTCACCAATAAATATAAATCATATTTTGTCCACAAGAATATACAATAAAACATTTTTATGAACCTAATTTGGAGATAAAGAAGAGCAAACGACGAACGAAAGGGTACGTTTGATCAAGTCCTTTTCTAATATAATCGCCGAGATAGTCCGAACCGGAAAATCGCCAACAACGTCAAAAATGGTACCGGCTGCTTATAGAGAGAGATTAAGTAGAAGATGACAAAGACAGAGATGTAGTTTCCGATGAACTCTCTGACGTTTGAACTCTCGCCGCCGCCTCACTTTGTGACTTCGGGAACGAGTAGAGTTCGGTTCTTGCGCAGAAGACGCTAAACGGTGGCGTTTTGTCTTTGTTTAGGTCATTCGTTCTTAACTTACCAAAAGGGTTGAGTTTCACGAGAGACGATAGAATCCTCGCCCGTGAACCAATGGTTGCTGGTGATGACGTGGCGGCGGCGACGGAGACCCGTTGTTTCTCTCTGTTTTGCATTATGTAATTCTCTCGCGGGAAATTTTTAATTTTTAATTTTTAATTATTGTTTATTTTATTTTTATTATTCCCTTTTGTAATTTTGGTTATGTTTCGTTCTTTATGTTTGTTGGCTATCATAATATATGATGTTTTAGAGATTTATTTTCATAATAGATAATGTTTTCAAATTTTTATGTAAAATTAATTGTGTATTTGTTGTTTTTGACTGTTTAAATTATGCAGATTATTTTTTAATTGATTGTATTGTTTTGAAGTTGATGATAACGTTAAAAATCAAGTAATATGATATAGAGAGAGTATATAGTAAGGAGGTACTATTGGTTTAATTTTTTTTGGTTGAACCGATGTGTAATTTATATAATGTGGTTGTAAAACAAGTAATGTTATTAAAATTCTACCATGTTTTTCGGATATATTTGAAATTTATTATAGTATGACTAATGATTATTTTTTTGCTCGTATGGTTAATTCTGAGTTTTGTTAGATATTTTCAATTCGTTTCATAAAATCTATAGATTTATCTTATAATTAATTTTTGCTGTAATATACTCATTAATGGAATACTACTACGATATGGTAGTTTATATTGTTATCATGTATTACGTGGAGGGTGAATGTATATTGGTAGGGTCCCGTATATTGCTATCATGTATTACGTGGAGGGTGAATGTTTAATTATGAATCCATGCCTTCACTAGGCTAACAAATTTGAGAATTTCAAAGTAATGTACTTACGTGCCTTTGAAATTAATATCTTGATTGGGCCTTTACTTGAGCCCATTATTAAGATACCAAAACAACACTAAGTCTCATCTTTAATAAAGTGTATCTGAATATGCTTTTTTTGTTGTTTATATCAAATATTAAATCAGGCTATACAAATTGAAAGCGAGTGTGAAATGTGAGCAAGCAGTCGGAAAAGCTTATTACTTAACTTTAAAATGGAGTTGACGGCGTTATTATAAATGTCAAAAAAGACACGTGAAGGCCCAATAAGGTCTCCTCGAAGTTCCATGGAAATTACGACACTTCAGCTGACTTGATACATCACCCAACAATCATAATGCCGTATCCAACGGCGATTTGACGGTAACGGCAACCTCCCAAAATGCCTATTCCCATTA